AACCGGGAGCGGGAGCGTGAGAAACGGGGACGTGAGAGAGTTAGGATTGTGACAGTGGGAGACTCAGACACACGGGGGGGTTGTGAGACAACGGGGGGCTCTGAGGATCGTATTGGGGAGCTGTGGGGATCGTTACGGGGCTTTGAAGATTGTCATGGGGGGCTGTGGGGGATGGAACGGGCTGTGCAAGAGCTGCAATGAGCGGCTGTGAGAGCGGTGGTGGGGCTGGGGGAGCTGTAATGGGGGGCTGTAAGGGCACAGCTGCAGGGAGCCCTGCTGACCCCCAAGCCCCGTAAGGATCCGGGGCACAAACTGCCCCATCCCCGCTGGGCACACAGCCAGCCCGCGGCCGCTGGGCGCACAAGCGAAGTTAACGGAGGCGGTGGCAGCGAGAGTCCCGGGCCGTGGCTCTGGGGTCTGTCACGGCAGCAGCACAGCCCCGGGGCTGCTCCAAGGGCTGCCCTCTGCCGAAACACGGGCACCGGGGCACCCTGGCACGCTTCCCCCAGCCGAGCACGATGGCCGTGCTGTCCTGCGGCACTTCCAGCACAACACACACCACGCTGCCCTGAAAACCACAGGCGAGAAACTCCCTCTGTGGGAAGCGCTCACCTCCTGCTCCCCCGCCGGCCTTGGCACCGCTCGTTAATTAACACGGAGTGAAGAAATTGCCCTTTGCCGGTATCACCCGGCTCTAGTTGCCTGACATGTCACACCCCAGCTGATAGAACACCTCTTTCTATGTCCCGAGATGAAAATGCCCAGCCAGTTCTCACTGTGAGCAGCCTGAGGTCAGGATAAAACACAACCCCAGCCACGAGTGTTGGTGTTTAAAGCCTCCACTGCTTTCACCACAGAGCAAACCCAGTATTTTCAGTAAAATATTTCAGTATTTTCCATGGCCAAAGTCTCCTGATGTTTTGATATTGATCAAACCCATGTTTTATTTGTCAGAGCTGCCTTTTGCCACCCAGTCCAGCTGGACACCGTAACCTTCCGGCAACAAATCCACCTCACTACTGGTCAAAGTCACCAAGCTGTCTTAGCTTAACAAACATGCAAATCTCCCGATTTAATCAGATCTCTGACGCACGTGGACTCAATCTGTGGTGGCCCCGAGCCTTATCCCTGACTCCAGTGGCTGCAAGCCCATCCTTTGGCAGTCCCATGGCTCAGTTTCCCCAGTGATGATGGGCTCTACTAAACTGGGATCTACTGATTAATTAAAAACCCCAACGACTCCTTGCACGCAAATCATCTATTATTTAAAACATGTGATGGAGCCACGTGCGCACAAGAAAATGCACTGCCAACACGTTCCACCGGCGCTTCCAGTGTGGAACTGGCCTCAGCTTTTCATTTGACCTGGTGGGAAGCCCAAGGAACAGTTTGCACGTGGCTCCACCTTTAAATGGGCTCCCCATTTTAGAGAAGAAAAACCCAAACCAAAACTGTCAAAAAAATCAAACAACTTTTCCATGACAAATTCTCCCTCTCCGATGGAGTGCACTTGCTGCAATGCAATGCCAGCTGTTCTTCCTCCTTGCTGGGGTGGCATCTCCGAGGGACACCAGGAAACCACACCAGCTCCCAGGTTCTTGCAGGGAATCTGACGGAGTCACTGCTGTCACCTGGCCATCCCACAGGAGCTGGGGCAGGGAGCTGTCGCAAACAAAGCCATCGATTCTGTTGACAGGAGAGGGTGGAGATGAGTGCCAGGAGGGCTCCCTTTACACAACAGCCAGCTGGAAGAGCACAAAGCTCAGCTGGTGGCGCAAAACAAAGCTCTGGACCATCGTGATACTCTTCAAATGCTTTGCAGGGAAACTGTTCCTAATTGCAAGTGCACCAGCAGTGCTGCTGTAAGCAGATCCCCCAGCTCAGAAGATTTTAAAGAACACAGACCCAGGCTGGAGAGCAGAGCAGGTATAACCCTCCCTCAGCAGGCCAGAGGGGCTGTGATGAAGGACCAACACCATTCCTGTGTCTGCAGAACAGAGGCATGTCTGTGCCAGCCCCGTGCCCTGCCACGAGTGACAGCGTGTGAGCACCCAGGGCCAAGACACAAATTCACTGCCCTGCGTGCTGCCCATCCCAGGGGCCAAACAACTGAGGACAAGGGGACTTGAGCTGTTCTCCATGACCCAATGGCCTTTGGGATACACACTGCAAGGAACAATTTAAATGACTCCTGGGAGAGTGTAGCTGAGAGCCCAGCTATCTCCAGACATCTCAGCCAACCCTGCAGTTAAAACATTTGGATGTTTCTTATCGGTGCTTGGAGAGGATTAAAGTGCCAGGCCATTTATTAGTGAAGGAGCAGGTTATAAACCCATCTCAGCTTGAACACCACGTTCATGTCAGGAAAAGCAAGGCAAGAACAGGACAGATCAAAAGAGAGCCATTAAAGGTGTGAGAAAATGGGGCTGCCATATAAGGAGCTAATAAAGTTAGCAGCTCTCCAGTTTGAAGGAGAAAAAAAAAGGGCAAGAGAAGCAGAAAACATCCTTAGGGTCCACACAACAGCCTCTCTCTGAGGAGGAAAAACCAATAAATGTAAGTGGGCAGACACAATGCTTCAAAAGGCAGGTTCATCCATTTAGAACACGGCGCCTTTTCTGAGCGGCAGAGCTGCCGTGCATCGCTGAGACTGCTCGCTGAACGCTTCAAAAAGGAGAGATTAGATACTGAGCAAGGACAGGGCTCCGTGTGCTCAGACCTAACTCCCTACCCTCACATCTGGCTCAGCAACATCTGTGTGTCATGCTGGGAAAGGGGGACATGACACCTCTCCCTAGCTAGGATCATCACGGGGATCTGAGCAGAAACAGAGGATTATCCCCACCACCAGCACACAGCCCAGGCTTTTTTTTACCTTTTTGTAAAAAAGCAGGAGGTTTCCCAGCAAAGAGCCCCAAGAAACACTCAGAGTGTTCCTTTGTTTGAGCCATCCAGCTCCAGCCACCATCTTGACAGGGTAAAATGTGTTTACGTGCCTTCCTTGCTCATTGATTGTATTTATTTAAAGAACACTATGACAGCTGAATATCAAATTCCCAGCTAGGCTTTTATCTCCTTTTTAAGACAGCCTGAATTATTGGCCTAATTTTATAGCTTACCCATTCTGCTTTATGCTTGCTTTCTCCAACAAAGAATTGGTGCTGTTTGATATTTAGGTCCATTTGTTGCCAAGACAGAGGCTATCGGCTCAGGAGCTGAAAACACTTGGAGCACAGAGCCGGGTTCTGGAGCCTTAACCCACACAAAGCACAGGATTTATATTAATAAAGCTCTTGATTTTGGTTCTTTTTGAGGGTTAGTACTCCAAATCTTCCTGATGAGATGACTCTGTGCAGAAAACTCCCTTCAGATTTTTGAAATGCAGTATTTAGTAATTTATTTTCTGACGCTCTTCCGTGCGGTGTTCTTATCCACAGTGCCAGGGAGGATACAGACAGAGAGAGCTGTGTCTGCTCACCTCACAGGGGTTCTCCCCAAACACAGGGCTTTCACAGGACTATGGCCTTCCAGGCTGCAAAAGATTACATTTTAAGGGAAAACCAAAGAAAACAAACATAAAAAAAGACAGTTCCATATGATTGGATACCCAAACAGGACAACTGCAAAGGATATAAATCCCCTGGGACTGGTTAGATGACCAAATCCTATACTTTGCCATTTTTAACACCTAATTGTTGTATTAACTCTTCATCCAGGTGTGATCTTTACCTGTGTGCAATGCCCAGGGGAAAAAGAAAACATCAGAAATGACACAGGAAATGTCATTGGACAAAGGAAATATTTGTTCATCAATACCTGCTGCACTCCAAAGCCTGTCCTCCAACACCGCATGGGAGAAGTTTCTTGTCTGCCTTTGGCTTTTATTTTCACCTCTGCAGATCTCATAGCACAGCTTTTTAACTCTTTGAGCTAAAAGCAAAGCTTGAAAGGCCATGGTTTTCTCCTGTACAGAGGAGGAGTGGACGTTCGTGTCGCTTTTTGGCACTGGAAATTCAGGTTTTGTTTAGCTTGGAAATATCACGGATGTAGCTCAAGTAATTCTTCAGGGTGGTAAAAGTTCAGCACTCATAAGGCAATTCTGTCATTTATCCTAAACTGCCAAAGGAAAGTAATTTAGAGTTCCAGAGGGTGTGCCAGCCCAAAAAACATGGAATCATCCCAACAGGCAGCTTCTTGCTCCTCCGAACCTCCTTGCCAGCAAAGGCCTAAGAGCACAAGGTGCATCTCCAAACCAACAGAGCCCTGATGAGGGAATAAAATCCAAATCCCTGTCCACACTGGCTTATTCCAAACAAGGCTTTAGGCACAGGAGCTACAGCCACTGTTCACACACCTACCACAGGGAGCAGGGTGTGAAATCTGGCCTCATCCCCACCCTGCACTTAATTTTAGCCAAAAAAGAGGGATAAAGTCATAGCTGTGCTAGAAATCCTTGCAGCAACCAGTCAGTGAAATCATTTCTTGTAAGAGGAATCTCCAGGGCTGGGTCAGCCCGTGGCATCCATGGAATCCCGATGCAATATCCTCATTAAGGTTGGCTAAGGACCCCCAGCACTCCCTGTGCACTAATGACTGCAGGAAGCCGTGCCTCCAAGTCGGGTGTGACCTGGCAGAGACCAGCACCAGGTGCTTTTTGCCACCTTTGCAACACAACAAAAGAAATTACACCCAGTCAGGAAGTGTTTCCCTTCTTCCCAGCTTTGAGGAATGGAGTAATAAACCAGCTGCATCTTGCAGGAGCAAGTTCACATATAAAAAAAACATGTAATTCAAGGGCACCCTGATCTTCCTCAACACCATTTAAGATGTTCAGTGCTCCCTCCGACCTCCACTGGCTCTGCCTGAGCAACATGATGAGGAATAGACTATCCCACATAGGTCTGTAGGCTTGGAGGGAAAGGGGCCCCACAGTTTTGCTCCCTGGAGGCACCCGCTCTCCCCACCCCCTTTGTGTGTATTTTTTTAACGTGCCACACATCAGCACAATGCTGACAAGGGCTTTGTATGTTTTCTGCCTATGCAGCAGTTCAAGACACACAACTTTGGATTTTTTGAAAGGGACAGGGGGAGGGAGCTGCCCTTTGCTGTACTGTTTAATTGCACCACTTGCTCTTCTACACAACCACAAGGAAGGGGAAAAGTACCAAGGTTTAAAAACAGGACCATTTTTAGTAGCCAAAAGGGTCAAACTCAGTCTTCTCACAAGACACAGCGAAGCTCAGAGTAAAACCTACTAGAGATAAGACAAAAATTATAAATTACCAGGGTTTCTTCTCTGGAGTTGGATGTGACCCCAGAAAACAGCTCATCCATCCTCACTTGCTGCTGTTACAGTCTCCACATTTGCACACCTGCCAATGCAGATTCCAGCACTGGAAAAAAAGGAGGGAAAGGTCTGGAAAGCTGGACTGTCAGTTTTTCCACCTGCCAGGAGCAGCTCAACGAAGCCCAGGTGGCTGAGCTCCAAGGAGCAGCGAGCAGAGCACGCTACCAGCCTTCTGGAGTTCCCATCTCACACGCACATGCGTGATATGGACAGCGCTGGCAAACAACTTCCTTCAAAAATAAGGATGACTAATCCACAGCAGCGCTGCTTTATTTATTTATTTTAAAAGCCACAAGGCAGAGCTTTTTCCAGAAGCATCAGCCTTTGTGAACCAGCAAGCAGTGGGAAGGGGAAGCCCTGGGACCCACTCCTACTCTGCAGACAGGAGTAACCACAGAACACTGCGGGTTTGTGTAGCCTATGTGTGACACACGCAGACGTGGCTGGAGCCTTGTCCCTCATGCTTCTGGCAAGGCCAGATTGCACTGCCTGGGTGATTCCTGGATCCCTGTGTGGTATGCAGGAATCTGCTGTGGAGAGGGGTTACATAAACAATACATTGTTTCCCTTGGAAATAAAAGAAAGAAACAAACAAAAAATATCAACAAAAAACAACAGAGAAAAACAAGGCATGAAACAGCTTTAACCCATAACTGCAGCATCCCCCCGGGTGAGGGGATGTGCTGGGAAAAAACGGGGTGCAGAGATTTGGGGTCAAAGCAGAGCAGCTGAATGGCTCAGTGGGCCCAGTCCCCCCAGCAAGGTCACTCTGGCTCACAGGGACACACATCTGTGCTCCAGGGCAAAGCTGTGGTGGAACCGCAGTGGAGGCAGTGCTGCAGGAGGTCACTTAGGGACTGCAAAAAGGGAATGGATTAAAAAAAAAAAATTAGAGAAAGAATCCATAAGCAGATGTTTACTGACATGCAGCAAATCCACAGCTCGGCTCGGGAAAGCTGCATGGTTTGGAGGCACAACAGCCCAGTTCCCAGAACACAGCGAAATACTCTGCATCTACAGATTTAGGTAATAGCTTTGAGCCAGACCCACACCCCACCCCACCAAAAAAAAACACCAAACCAAATTTGTCATCTTTTTAAGCACTCAGAAATTGAGGTTTGCCACCAAGGTAATTTTGCATGGTGGCACCATTAAATACTTACCCACCTCACAGCCAAGGGCTGCACAATCTTAAATTTGTGAGTGTTTGCAAATGGTTTGGAAAGCTTTCCAAGGAAGGTGCTGTATGATTGTAAATCCTTCCCGTTATTAATAAAAGGGAGCTATTGTTTCAGCTCTAATCAAGCCTTGTTTCCAGCTGGGCAATTTTAAAACGCAATTCAAAACACACAGGAAAAAAAAAAAAAAAGATCATGAGGAAGCTTCGGAAAAAAAAAACCAAAAAAAACACAGTGAAGGAGAAATGGGAGGGGGGAAGGAAAGTAAAAAATAATACGCCTGCTATTTAAAATGAATTCCGAGCAGGAGCATGCTGGGGCAGGGGGGGAATCCCCCCTCTCTCCGCCTGGGAAAGGTCACTTATGCCATCGGTGCCATGGCCACGCCGGAGTAGGGCTTCGGCGCTGCCAGCCCTGCCTCATCCATCTCCATCAGCGACAGCTCTGCTTCCCATTTATTCAGAAAAAAAAAAAAAAATTCAAAAATTTAAAAACCCACAAAGCCCCTCCAAGCTGCAAACACCTCCCAGCGCTCTGTTTTCAAGGCTGGGGGAACGGAGCAAGGGGGAGCGGCTTGGAATGAGGCTCCCAGCCAGGGAGAGGTGGCGCATCCTCCGCATCCTCCTCCTCCTCCTCCTGCCCGGCGCTGCGGCAAAGACGCCGCAGTGGGGGCTCCCCGCCCCCGCGGAAACTTCTGGAATCAGCAGCCAAGCTGGAGAGAGGAGAGAAACCTTTACACCCGCAGAGGGGAGAGGGGAAAAAAAAAAACAAACCCGTAATAATAAAAGGGAGAGGATTGCACAAGGCCGGGGAAAAATCAGAGATCTCTGTAAAAGTGAAGCCCCCGAGCGGCTCTGGCAGCCCCGGCTCGGGTGGCGGTGCAGCTGCCTCGGCTCGAAACAAAACGCCCCAACAAAGCAGATTAAAAAAAAAAAAAAAGAAAGAAAGAGAGAAAAAAAAAATGGTGGTGTTTGTAGCGCTCGATGGTTGGGATAAAGGAGCTGATCCCTCCTCCTGGATGTACAGCAAAGCCGGCCATTGCAGCTCCATTTTACCTTTCTTTGTGCAATGAATTATCTGATCCGGACTACTCGGTTGTATTTGCAGCTTCACTTACTGCGGTTTGGTTTTGTTGTGCTTTTTTTTCCTTTTCGTTTCTTTTTGTTTGTTTTGTTTGGGTTGTTTGTTTTTTTTCCGGTGGTATATTTTTTTCCTCTTTTTCATTAAAAAATAATCCTTCCCAAATCTCCCAAGGAAAAATCTACATCTCTGTGGAACAAATAAAACATTCAGGCATAAGCTTCCATCATGGACTGTAAAAAAAAAAAAGGAAATGGGTTGGTTTTTGTTATTTTTTCTTATTTTTACTTTTTGATGGCATTTTTTTCTCCTGCTTTTAGGATACATTGTAGTAGAAAACCAATGGAGGAAAACAAAGGTAATATATCTATAAAATCAAAGATACATATGGGCCAAAGTTACAGTGATTATACATAATTAAGTTATAGTTTTTAGGTGTGTTGGCTTATTTTATATTTTAAGCAGTCCCTGGGAAAAGGTCATATATAAAAACATTAAATATATAGCAATATTTATATATCTATATTTAATAAATATATACAATATATTCTACTGTATCCATAAAAATAGAAGAGCATCTGTATGGGCCTAAATCTGCAATTCTATGGGGAAAAAGCAGTATTTTTAGGGATGTAGCTTTTAAGAAATAAAAGGCAATGTTGTAGCCTGTAACAATACGGTGATGCAGGAAAAAAGGGTAAGGCAACTTTAAAATAGTATTTAAAACAAACAAAAAAAAGTGTGGTACCTTGGCTACAGCCTCCAACAACGAGAATGTGAATGTTACGGGATTTGGTTGTTTGGTTTTTTTTAATGGCATTACCACGTCTGATCACACCAATGTATGATTTTAATTAAGCGAATGGTGGGCAAGCTGTCGTGGCGAGCAGCGATGGTTTCTTCCCATACCACTCCGGCTCTGATGATAAATCAATCCTCGGGCTTTTTTTTTTTTTTTTTTTTTTTTTGTTGGTTGGTTGGTTTCTTTCCTCCCTAAGCGCTTTTGGGGATTTTCCATATCGTGAGGAGACCGGGAGATGGCGGCTTCAACCCCTGCGAAGGAGAAAAGCGGTGTAAAAGCAAAGAATTAGGCATAAAACTACCCATCTTGGGGGTGCGCGTGGTGATGAGGGAGGGAGGGGTGGGGGGCGTGTGGAAAGCGCAATTCTGGGCCAGAACTCCTCAGCTGAGAGGGGGAAAAAAACCAACAAACGTTTTAGGGGTAACACTGGGGGAGCGGGGGGAAGCTGAG